AAACTTTCTCTTTCCTGTTCAGGTGTCATGGAAAATCTTAATCTTGGTCCAGACGTTCTCCTTAAAAATAATCCCAGACTCATTTATGCTAGGCTAACTGGATTTGGCAATTCAGGAGCCTATAGCAAGATGGCAGGTCATGATATCAATTATTTGGCTGTGTCAGGTAAGTTATACAGTGTTCTTTATGTGTGTGTATGCAATCCATGTGCTTGATTGTAATTCAATAATATATTCTCATTAGGTCACTTGAGAAAATAAACAAGCTGTGTGGGTTCTGCTGTCATACTTTCATGGCAGTGTCCTAAGCATGTATACACAGGAGTAAATGCTGTTGTATTTAATGGGACATACTCCTTAGTAAACACTCTTAGGACTGCAGCCTTGCAATGCTGTCCTAAGAAGAATTACACCCTTCTAAACCCATTGACTTTAATGGATTTAGAAAGGTGTGACTCTATTTATAACACACAGCCAGTGTCTTACATTTCTGGTTAGAGCTGATTTCTGGACTTTGTTCTAAGGTCTAGTAGTACTAAAGTGCACAGTAATGATTGAAATGTTCGTTATAGTTTAGCTAGAAACACATTCTGTATTTAGGAACAGATGTTATCTAAAGTTGGTAGCACACTATTATTAAAAGAAGCAACTGGACAGATTATATATCAAAAAGGTATTTAGAGCTGATGATTCCGTGGAGGTGCTCTGATGTATGTAGAATCTGCAAGTGGTTCTGTTAGTAAAAGGACTTAGCTTCCTTTCTGCAAATCCCTTACACAAGCGCTTCCTGAAAATTAGCTGGAAGGACTGTCACACTTTCCGTCATTCCACCACAGTGCAGGAACAGGCAGTTAAAAAATGGGATGAAAGCAGCAGTGTTAAAGCCATTTTGTTTGTTTTACAAAATTTATACCCCATCTTTCTGCCCTCATAAGGGCCACCAAGGTGGCTAACAAATTAAAACATACATAATAAAATCACATCTTAAAAACCATTAAAACCAACATCATTACAACAATTAAAACCAGGGCTAAAATACATCTAAAAATGTAGCAACAGCAATTAAAACATGGGTCAGAAAGAAGAGATTACTGAGGGAATGCCAGCAACAAAGTCTTCACCCACTGGCAGAAAGTAGCAATAGGAGACGGGTGAGTCTCCCTGGGGAGAGTTTTCCAGTGTTTTGGAGCCATGATCAAGAAGACCCGCTCCTGGGTTGCCACCAGCCTGATCTCAGAAGGCAGGGGCACCCGAAGCAGATCTCAAAAGGTGACCATTGTGGTCGGGTAGGATCGTAAGGGGGTAGACTGTCTTCCAGGTATGCCATGAGCATCCTGAAGTTCAGAAGACGTTTGGAAGGATTTCTGAACAAAACACATTTTCATTTTGAAATTGTGAGATAAAAGGTAATATGATTATTACACTGCTTGGATTATTTTTATTTTTAAACTGTCTAACTTAACCACCCCAGGTTTTGCAGAGCATGCAAGGGCACTCTTTTGTCAGGTGGTTTTTGGGTGAATTTGATCCACCAAGCAACTAGTAAATTATGCTCCAGCCATGTCTTCAGAATCCATGCATCCTTGCTGGGTAGTTGATAGATTTCAACCATAATACATTTTTAATCATGTTATGTTGTTGTTGTCATGAGCCAGTTTGGTATAGTGGTTAAGTGTGCGGACTCTAATCTGGGAGAACCGGGTTTGATTCCCCATTCCTCCACTTGCACCTGGCTGGATGACCTTGGGCAAGCCGTAGCTCTGATAAGAGCTGTTCTTGAAAAAGAGCAGTTTCTGTCAGAGCTCTCTCAGCCCCACCTACCTCACAGGGTGTCTGTTGTGGGGAGGGGAAGGGAAAGGAGTTTGTAAGCCGCTCTGAGACACCTTTGGGTAGTGAAGGGCGAGGTATAAATCCAATCTATTATTGTTGTTGTTGTTGTTGTTGTTGTTATTTCTGAATCATCCCATCCCTGAGTACACAGGGCTCTGGGCGATTTACAACAGGTTAAAAAATATACAAAATACAGATTAAAATCTATAATCAGTTGATTTTAATTACTCAGTCTTTAGATGGCGTCTGTAATTTAATTAAAAAACCTGCTCTGAGCTGTTCTTCCATCTCTTGAGCAAGTTAAGGAGGAGGCTGAAGTTGGCAAGGTAGGAGTAAGAGAACGGTGCCAGCTATGATGGAAACCGTTGCTGTTGTATTTTGTACTTTTTGATCTGGTGTATTTTTATATGTTGTTAGCTGCCTTGAGTCCCATTCAGGGGAGCGGGAGCGGGATATACATTTGATAAATAAATAAATAAACTTGGGTTATTTTTCAAGTGTGTGCTTATTGTATATACTAGGTGTGTTATCGAGACTTGGCAGAAAAGATGAAAATCCTTACGCCCCTGTCAATCTTCTGGCTGATTTTGCTGGAGGTGGTGTCATGTGTGCACTGGGCATAATTATAGCACTCTATGAACGTACAAAATCTGGTAAAGGGCAAGTCATTGATGCAAGTATGGTAAGTTGATTTTTAACAAACCCCCCCCCCTGCAAATAGTATAAAAGAGAGGGTTGGGGATCTTAGATGCCTGTAGAATCAGAATACTCCAATTCTTAAAGACCCCCAGTCCAGTTTTATGTGCTTTTTAAAATGTGCAACTTGTGGCAGTGAGTGGGAGAAAGCATCTTTTTCAGAGTCATTTGTTGTATTCAGTAAACATGGAAGCAAGCTAATATACATCTCATGTTCAGGCCCGTGTATGGATTTCCTTTACCAGATTAAGACGCTTGACTATTTCTTGATGTGTCTTAACCAGTTTTATTGAAGTCAAGTGAATTTATAGGTCCATAAATATATTTTAAATTGTTGCTTACAGCGCAATGCTTTTATTGCAGGTTTCTTATTACAGGTTTTATTAGAGGCCTTTGATCATAGCAACATGAAAGTGAAAGGCTGCAGTGTTTTAAATTAACTGGCTAGGATACAGTGAAGAAAAAGTAAACGAGAGACACCTATCTTGTTAATAGAATCAGAATAAATTTAGAAGGCCAGCTGTTCAGAATTCATATTAGAAACAACTTTCCCCTCACAGTAGATTGTGGAACTTGCTGTTTGAGGCTGTGTTCAAGGGCTTAATGACATTAAGACGTGGAGATACATCTTCAGATATCAAAACCATAAATAACACTACCTAATAGCATTAATCAACATAAACTATCCTACTTTAGATTCAGAAAAAAGTTCTAGCTATTTTGAGTTCAGAGAGAGATTGAGTGTGAGAAGACCAAGGAAGCAGAAAAAAGTCTTTATCTGTTTCTGAGGAAGAAGAATCTAGCCAAATACCTCCTGTATTCCTATTGAAACTATGTGAAATTATATTCGTGCATTGTATCTTTAAGGTAGAAGGTGCAGCATACCTAAGTTCTTTCCTGTGGAAGTCGCAAAACTTGGGCCTTTGGAACAGACCGCGAGGGGAAAACCTGCTGGATAGTGGAGCCCCTTTTTATGAAACATACAAGACCTCAGATGGGAAATTCATGGCTGTTGGAGCTCTTGAGCCACAGTTCTATAAGCAGCTAATCAGTGGTAAGTTTGTCCACACCACTTTTTCTAATAGTAGTCCCTGGCCCCTAGTACGGTCACAACAACAGTAGACCAAGGCCACACGTAGACAAAGAAGGGGTTTCTGCAGATTTGTCAACTCCTCAGACATGTTGGAAAAGATGACTTAGGCCCCTGCCACACGGCACGGGAAAAGCCGCCAAAAAGCGTGGCTTTTAAAAGCCACGCCAAAGTTGAAACGGCGCGGCGGGATCCCACGGATCCCCTGGCCGCGCCGCCTTTCTCCCCGGCACGATCAGATGCCGGGGAGAAAACACAGATCGGACGGCGAGCCAGCCAAACTGCGCATGTCGGAGCATGCGCAGTTCGCCTAGGAGCCGGGGACGCGCCGGCGCAAGGACGCGCCGGCGATCAGACTCCCGGTTTGTGGCGCACCATTGGGATGAACCACCTCGGTAGGTGGTTCCAACTTGGAGCGGTTTATCGCGTGGATGGGCCAGTTTGGGGACGGAAGCACCACGCTTCCCAGATGTTGTGGTGTGATCGCGGCCATTTGCTCTACCCCCGAACCGTCCCGCTACTGGCCCAAATCCCCTCGTGTGAACGGGACCTTAGTATATTAACCAAAATACATTACCACAGTAGTCTGTCTGATGATGTCTCAGTATGGTCCAAGACACCATCATAAACTCCCAATTTGTCAGAATTGGTTTTTCAGCAAGAGTAGTTTTAAGGAAGCCAATTTTACCATAGAGCCCAAAAACTAGTGCATCACCCCCCAAGTTGGCGACGTGACAATGTCATTTCCAGGTGATGTCATCACATCATCTTTTAGGCCGGTTGGGGGCGGGATTTCCTCCTGCTGGCCAGCTGGTCATCGGCTGTGGAGCGCCCGCAAAAACTGAGGTTTCCCTGCCCCTGGCAGGGGTCTGACAACCCTACCTTCTGCACCCTTTCCCACCTCTCTCCAACTCTAGTTTCCCCACCTCCTCACTTCCTCATTTTGTTTTTTCTCCCTCAGTGAAAAGTGGGTGCCATATGAACCAAAGGGCATTGTTTTTACATGAAAATAAAAGTTGGTAGGAACAAGTCACGATAGGTTTGCCTATTGCAGAGGAGCAAAGGGGGGGGGTGTCCTCCCCATACTGGTAGATCAGCAACAAGAGATGCAGAATCAGAAAGGAGCTAAGTAATTTGGAAGGGCAGAGGCTGGAAGTGTTTGTAGCTTTGGCCAGTACCAGTGCTAGAGAAAAGAGAGATGTGTGCACACACACATACATACATACACATACCCTCTTACACTCAGATATACCCTCAGTTTTAGGTCTGGTATAGCTGTTTTTTTTCTGAAATTTTTTAAAAAACCTAATTTGGTTAGGATTATTGAGAGAATATTTCTTTTCTTAAACAAATTCCAAATGAAGCATATAGTTAATTAGTTTTTGAACAACAAAGCTGGCTACTTTAAAGTAATTTATGTTGTTTTACAGGGATGGCAGAATAGGGTATGATGAGGATAAGGAGATTTCAGGAACTCTACAGTGAGTCCAAATGGAACCATTCTAGGGAAGGGGTAGAAATGTTTTAAAAAGTTCCATGCAGTGGCAACAGTTTGTACTGCTGGATGTCTGAGAGGTGCCACTCCATCTGCTTTCCTTGCTGAATCCAGATCTCAGTAGTAACCACAGGCCTGCCCTTTGCACTGAATGGCTGTGCTTTGCAGGAGAAGGTGGTGGCGATTATGCTGACTCCGACTGACCCCTTGTGTTACTGCTGCCCTTTGTCCTGGGCCTTGTGTGGTAGTATGAGCAAGCTGTTACTCCATTGTCCGTTGCCATTGCAGCTTCAGAGTCTTTGGGTGTCTCCTAACCAGAAGCTATGCTGCAGTTCTTCTGTGGCTCTGAACTCTGCAAAGGTAAAGAATAATGAAGATGCCATGGCATGCATACATACACACTACTGATCCTAAAGAAAGGTAACCTTGAGAATGGTCAGTTGCAGGAAAAAGAATGAGGGGATTGCTTGAACTGAATTATTGGAGAATAATGAAGCCTGGGTCCAGATGCTAAAGTATACCCATAAGCACTCATATTTTATTAATTCATTCATTTAAGATATTTATTAGCTGCCTTTCTATGTTACGGAACTCAAGGCAACTTACAATATTAAAAGAACCAAACATCTAAGGGAAGGCAGATTTCCGGTTGTAATTATGACCTGGCTAGGGATGTAAAGGCCCAGAATTAAAATAAAAGTTTATGATGATGGGGTGTGTGTGTTCCTGGTTGTTTCCAAGGCCTTTCCCCCCAATCTTTCCAACAGAAAAAATGCAGAATTTGGGAGACCACTGGGGGAAAAGACTTCTGCAATACAGTTCTCTTTTAGAATAAATAAAATTCTTCTTAAGGCAAGGTTTTTCACACTCGAAACGTATAGCGTAATAATAACCTCCTAAGCAGTATTTTCTCTTTTGATTAAGAAAGACCCTGTCTTCTCTTCCAACGCACTTTACTCTTCTCAAGTATAGGTCATGAAAAGGTCTGAGGACTTTCTCAGTTTTTCCAGGGGAAAATTGGGAAATTTTGGGGAGCACTGGGAAAAAAATCCTGTTATATTATAGACATATGCAACATTTTTCTAAGATGGGTTTTTTTGTTTATGTAAATAATTTGGGCAACAGTTGATCTAAATAATTTTGGCAACAGTTAATATGCTGTAATATGTTAAATAGGTAAAGGTTTCCCTTGCTCGAAAGCCAGTCGAATCCGACTCTAGGGTTGCGGTGCTCATCTCCTTTTCCAAGCTGAAGAGCCAGTACTGTCCGAAGATGTTTCCGTGGTCATGTGGCCGGCATGACTAAACGCCATGGGGCACGGAACGCTGTTACCTTCCCACTGAAGCGGTACCTATTTATCTACTTGCAATTTCTTGCTTTCGAACTGCTAGGTTGGCAGGAGCTGGGGCCAGAGACGGGAGCTCACTCCGTCATGCGGCACTTGGGTCTCGAACTGCTGAACTACTGACCTTCCACAGCCTGCAGTTCAGCATCTTAACCACTTGAGCCACCGCAGCTCCTTTGTTTTTGTTTTATTTGTTTAATGTTTTTGTTTTGTTTTGTTTGTTTGAGCGACTTATCCCCTGCCTTGTGGCAGGGGCCTTCCATCACAGCACATCTATCTTAAATGTTTGCATTGTGAGAGGTAGGAAAAATAAAAATTAGCTAGAAAACAAATTCTGTGGTATACAAAAGAATGTATATTATTGGAATTTCATACTCTCATAGAGTCACAATACCAACATGTTTTGATAGCAAGCTGAACTTAATAACATTCAAAACACTGAACTCTTTAATAATGTCTTGCCATTAAACAAACAAAACAAAAACAAAGGAGCTGCGGTGTCTCAAGTGGTTAAGATGCTGAACTGCAGGCTGGAAGGTCAGTAGTTCAGCAGTTCGAGACCCGAGTTGCCGCATGACAGAGTGAGCTCCCGTCTCTGGCCCCAGCTCCTGCCAACCTAGCAGTTCGAAAGCAAGAAATTGCAAGTAGATAAATAGGTACCCCTTCGGTGGGAAGGTAACAGCATTCCGTGCGCCTTGGCGTTTAGTCATGCTGGCCACATGACCCCCTATTGCTGAATGAATTTGTAAGATAGCCTCTTGCTCGGAGTCTGAACATTTCTTCCCTCCTTGTGGATTGCCACCCAAAACATGCTCAGAAAGGGTGGGTTTGGGCAGCAAACTTAAAAAAAAAAAAGATATTTGGATGCTAGCGCTGAATGTTTCAGTGTTGGGGGGCGCCTGTACTGAAACAAACATTTGGTCTCATTGGGAGGCCGGACACCAGCCACCAGTCATTGCCCATTTATTTTCTCTGCAGCCTAATCTATCTTGTGCTTGCACTGGGACTATCTCATGTCAAAAGTCCAAAGCCCTTGGCCCTCATGGAAGCATGAAAGAATATTGTTTGTTCAAAGAGGAGTGGGTGTTTGTGTGCATAAGCGCAGAGCTTCTCTTGGGAGAGCAGCCACCACTCCACATGAAGTTGGTGGCTTGGCAGAGCAAAGTAAGGCGGGGGCTTTCATGAAGCTTCTCCCCCAAGAAAGGGCACAGGCACTGGAGACCAGTGCAGGCTCATCCTGGAAGCACCCCTCTCCTCGCATGCTTACTCGAGCGTAAGGCCCACTGAGTTCATTGGGACTAAACCCACTTGAGCCCTGACCTGGACAATTTTGTCGTATCGAGGAAAGGGGTTGTAATGATTCCTTGTGTGTGTGTGTTCCTTTAAATGTTTGGTTGGAGTGCAGTGATAGCAGAGTAGAATGATTGAGGGAGACAAGTGTGCTGTGGTTGGTGGATGACAGAGTGTGGGAGGAGGTGTTTGGAATGAATCTGTGTGTGTGTCAAATAAGTCAGTTATGAAAGTCAGAGAAATCAGTTGGAGTGATTCAGTCAGTTAGTGAGTCTGGGAGAGAGTGAGATGACTCAGTTCTGTGTGGAGATTTAAAGAATTCAAAATATATGTCTTTACAAGTTTAAATGTGAAGGAGCTATGAGAAGGGTCTGTGAGACTCCAGAGTTATAAAAGAGGAATAATACAAAGAGCTTTGCCAGTGTGGCTACCTAGTGAAAGAGTGATTCCTGTCTGAGAGGGATCTTATGATCAAAAGACTGTGTGTGATACCTTGCCAGTTTCTTTTACCAGTTTCTCTTCCCCATAACAGTTACAGTTAACCAGCAACTTATTTTTGTTCCTTAATCAATAAATCCTATTTTGTTTGACTTTAACCCAGAATTCAGTTCAATCCTTCCTCAGGGCCACAGAGACCTCTAAAAAGCCCAGACCCAGGGTCACATTACCAACAGCAGTTAATGAGAGAAGATTTGGAATTTGTTTAAATTCCTGGTGGCAGCAGAAACTACCCGGTTTGTGAACACAAAGTATAATTTTAAAGTGAAAACCAATCCTCCCCAAATAAGAGGACACCACAGGGCTGTTAAAAAATTTTCTGCTCCGGAAGTCAGACCGGGAAGACCAACCAAGAAAAAAAACAGCGAGCCCTGCCACCTGAGTGCCGGTAGGCAGCCCCAACCCTGTAGACATGTGGCCTTAGTTAGGGATAAATTCGGAACTTGTAAGCCGCTCAGAGACCCTTCGGGGTTGGAGCGGGGTAGAAATCGAAGATATAAATAAATAAATAAATATATGCTAGGTACACCATTGGAGCTGTGTTCCTGATGCAAGTCAGGTAAAGGAATTTAAAATTTTGGTGGGGAGCCAATCAGAGAGACCTCTCAAACACGGGAGAAGATGCAACCAGTAAGGGAACAAAGTCTGAGTCCAGTGGCACCTTTAAGACCAACAAAGTTTTATTCAAAGTGTAAGCTTTCATGTGCAAAGCACACTTTAAATAAAACTTTGTTGGCCTTAAAGGTACCACTGGACTCAAACTTAGTTTTGCTGCTTCAGACCAACATCTCACCACCTGAACCAGTAAGGGGTGAGATGCATACACCGGGAAAGACCCTCAGTTGTTGTATGATGGGCATGGAATGTACTTTGGTGTAGTGGTTAGGAGTTAATCTGGTTAATCTGGGAGAACTGGGTTTGATTCCCCACTCCTCCAGGTGCAGCTGCTGGTGTGACCTTGGGTCAGTCACAAGTTCTCTCTCAAAGCTCTTCTCTCAAGAGAAGTTCTCGAAAGAGCTCTCTCAGCCCCACCTACCTCACAGGGTGTCTGTTGTGGGGAGGGGAAGGAAAAGGGATTGTAAGCCGCTCTTAGACTCCTTTGGGTTGGTATAATTCCAATCTCTTCTTCTACTTTAATGGGGACTGTGGAGCCCCCTTGAAGCTGCTAAAGTACTGCAATGCTTCAGCACATGCACCAAAAAAAGAAGAAGAAAGAGCAGAAAATCAATTCTCAATGTGAATGTGAACAGATGGAACTGTGATGGGGGGAAATGAAACAAACCTGTAAATGTGAACTTATCGCACCAATAGTACGATCATCAGAACCATCACAACACCCCAAAAGGCAGCTGCAGTCTGGAAAATACCTGAGTCAGTACTCTGACTGGCAGCGGCTCTCCATGGTCCTGGGTCAAGGTCTTTTGCATCAGCTACTACCTGATCCTTTTGTAGCTTAGAGATGTCAGGGATTGAACCTGGAATTTCCTGTAGGCAAAGCAGATGCTCTACCACTGAGACAAGTACATATGGGGTAAGCAGCAATAAAAGCAAACGCTTGGGGCTTAGGACCCCTGGATTTTTAATGTCACTTTTAATGAACACTGTACTGGTTATTAGCCAATAAATATGTCTCTTAAAATCCAGGATGTCTTTTTACTGTGGCATTATACATTCTACCAGGTTTTCTTCAGCCAACAATTGCGTAACGGGGTGATATTTATATAGCTGAATGCAGGACATGTCGTTTTATATTAAGCTAAAACTAACATAATATTTAGGCTTCTGTTCTGTAGATTAATCTGTCCGATAGACTGCTGACATCTACATAAAGAGATGGAAAGTACCCCAAGGGTTCATTATAAAAGGAATCCACGTAATATAAGGTTATTTTCTTTCAATAAGAGCTCACTACACACTGTAGGAGCCCAGCTGTGCAAACTGTGCTTTGCGTGCTTGCTTTCAGCCATGTGGAGTAGTTACAGAACAGTGCAACTGGAAGCTAACTCCATGTCTTGATTACACGGAACAGAATTGTAAAAACACCCACCCAGTCGATGAAGTCAAGAGCTTTTGAGTCACGTTTGAATTTTGTACAGGGGCAAAAGCATGTTGAAACCTTATCTTTTTTTAAGGAGTGGGTGTGAGACAGAAACTTTGGGGGAAATATATGAAATTCTTCTCAATCCTGAACGTATTTTAACCGTTGTAACAATATAAAAGGCATCATTAATAACTTCAGTAACCTATAGAATTGCATTATTTGGCATACCTGTGAAATACTTGTGAAATTTAAAAGGGTAAATGCCTTATTTTTCTACATACATAATTATGAATATAGCCGGATTTTGGGAACCTAGTTGTATATTGCTGCCTTCTAGACTTTAAAAGTCAGTGAAACTCAGAAACCTATGTATGTTTAATCAGAAACTGAAAAGGCTCTCTCTACAAAGTTTTAAAGACTTTGCTGAACAGCAGAAAAGCTTACTTATTAGCAACAGATTATCTGGTGTTAGTGTGATTACAAAGTTACCTCAGTTTTTATTATCTGTTCATCTCATACATCCTAACCCTGATTCCACCTGACCTTTTCTCCTCCAAGTAAAAGAAAACATTTTGTTTATTTTGAACTTTCTTGAGTGCTATTTCAGAAGAAGAATATAAGAAGGTGATTTTGTCTCTTCCCTCAGTTCCCTGGGCTGGGCCAATATCAACATATATATAATAAAGCGACTCGATGGGGCAGCCATAGACAATCAAATAAGAAAAAGATAGATATAGGGGCTGCTCAGCAAGAAAGAAGAAAAAAGGAAAAATCCTGTGTGTGAGGGAGGGAAGGGGGCGAGATTGCCATACGTGTGGGTTTTTTATATGAAAGACAGGAAAACATAAAAGTTGGGAATGGAAAACCCACATTTTGTAGTAAACAAAAGATACTATTATTGAAACCGAAACAGTCCCTTGCTATTACAATAGGACTAGCAGGATACTGGATATGGAATTAAACTTTGGAACACCATGATGTAGTGATTGACAAACTGGAATCTGGGAGAGCCAGGTTTGAATCCCCACACAGCTGTGGAAGCTTGCTAGGTGACTCTTTGCCTGTTCTACATCACAGGGTTGTTATGAGGATAAAATGAAGGAGGAAAATGTGTTAAGCCACTTATGCCTGTCATTTGGGAGAAAAGAGTATAAATGAAGGAAAGAATTAAAATTGACCTGCTAGTATATCATATGCAACATTGTTGCATATTAATTATGGACAAAATTAGTCGCATTTAAACAAACGTTTCTTTGAAAATATGAGCATTTCTACAGTATCCACAGGAATTATCATTATTCATGTCTTCCTTTTGTACTCGCTTTGGCAGCACATACCCTAAAATTGGAACAAATGTCTTCCCTTCGCTAACCAGGTTTATAAATCAGGATTAAACTCTGATTTGGGATCCTGGTTAGTGGGTGGAAAGCTGACTCCAGTTAACCACATACCTGCATTAACCAAATTTAGCCTTAAATTGCTATTCCTTCATTGGACTCCATGTGAGGAGGAGTCAGACAAAATTGTGAGCCCAACACAAGGTTGATTTGTGAACATTATTATTTAACCGTTGTTGAACTGGATGTTTGACCGCAGCCAGAATAAACCGAGATACCTGGAGCTGTTTGTATACAAAGATGCTTTAATGTCAGGATACTGACCTTTGTGTAAGTGATCCAAGAGCATGCTGACAGTTCTGAGGATCCCAGAAACTGTATCAGCCCAATGAGATTTGTGCACATACATTAATAATCAGTGTACCCATCTATATGATGTGTGTCTACATCCTTATTTGGGGAGGGGGTTACAGTTCCATTCTTTTCATTATCTCCTTTTAATCTGCAACCTTCATACCCTTTCTGGCTCCTAACAGTAAACACTGCCTTCTGCAGCAGTTCAGTGAATTAAGCAGATTTGTTTTACAATGCCGCTGATTCTTTTTTTAATTATTTCAGGTCTGGGGCTAGATTCTGATAAACTTCCCGATCAGTATGATTTTTCTGGCTGGCCTGAAATGAAGAGGAGGTTTACTGATCTGTTCTCAAAGAAAACCCAAGCAGAATGGTGTGAAATCTTTGACTACACGGACGCCTGTGTGACGCCGGTTTTGTCTTTTGATGATGTCGTCTCGCATCCGCACAACAAAGAACGTGGGACTTTCCTTAAAAATGACCAGGAAGAGATAAGTCCTAGACCTTCTCCACTTCTTTCCAGGACCCCGGCTACCCCTTCTACCCGAAGGGATCCGTTTATAGGAGAGCACACTGAAGAGATTCTCTTAGATTCTGGTTTTTCTAAGGAAGAGATCGCACAGCTTAAAGCTCTCAAAGTAATTGAATCCAATAAGCCAAAGGCTAACTTATAAATCTACAGAAACCAGGGGTCCAAGACTGCCCAATGGTATTTTTTATCTTCTGCTACCCATGGGTGCTGTGAACTCAAGAAGGGAGAGTTATGGACAGAACCATTTAGCAGTTTAAATGATTTTGGAAAAAGATATTACTCCAGCGTGGAGTTGGATATTTGCAGATTACTACGGCTAATTTATACTTTCGGAAAAGCTGGCATTGGGCAAGAGACGTATTGCTGGCCTCCTACTGCTTTACCAGTAGCCACTAAGAACCATACATTTAGGAGATGGAAGTGGACATCACAAATCAGATTAACTCTATGCTGATTTGTGTGGGTCGTAATGCAGATGATTTCGAAGGGTAACCGTGTTGATCTGCAGTAGAACCGCTGTATTTGGGTCCACTGACTTCTAGGCTGGCCACTGGTGTGAACAGACTGTTAGACTTGTTGGGCCTTTGGTCTGATCCAGCATGGCTCTTCTTATGTTCAGTAGCACTTTAGAGACCAAAGATTTTTGGGTTATAACCTTTGGAGAGTCAAAACTCCTTTTGTCAGGTACTGACGAAGGGAGCTTTGACTCTTGAAAGCTTATACCCTGAAAATCATGTTGGTCTGTAAAGTGTTACTGGACTCATATCTAGCTGGTCGTAATGCAGTACACTAAGACCCAGCAAAAGCCTTGCTTGTGCTGATGTATTGTAGGATGGTTGGTTTCTTTCAAACAGTCCCAGTTAAAGTTATAGCCTTCAGAGCCCATTGACTCTGCTCAGGATTGCATGGTCTATTAACCATATGAAGAAACTATTTTTTTAAAAAAAAGAAAACTAGACAAATTTAGGCTGCAACACAATGGTATAATATGTAGAATTAATGTCTGAAATAACCATTTGAACGGATGCGTATTACCTTTTAGATTGTAGCACCAAAGCCCTAGACATATTTTCAAAAAGACCTTAGTTTTTGCTCCCAATGCTAAGAATTTTAAGTTTTCATAGCTTTGTTCAGTAGGCATGCTCTAGGGGGAATGTTCCACAGTGTCCGTAGTTTTAAGGCATTGGGCCTGTGAAGAAGAAGAAAAACAGTGGACTTGTTTTACGATCCCAAAACAGAAGGCACAAGTGCCTGCATCAGTTGTTGAAGGAATGTGAGTAGTTCTGCAGAACAACCACAAAAACCCCCACCCACCCTATTTTTAATTTCAAATGTATAAAATTGTATTGTCCAGAAAAATAGCTTCTTTTTGCACTGCTGTTAGCCATCCTGTCAGAATTTTATTGATATCCTTCATAATTTGGATAGATGATTCGACTCTGTATTGTTTTGGTTAGCGGCGTCAGTGGGAAGCCTTGGGTTTGATTAAGGCTATTTTGTTTTAATTTGGAGCCCACCCTTTGTTATATAACTTTTACTATGGCATAGCTAAAAACAAATCAACTTTTGAACTGATGTAACTGAAAGGTCTACAAATTAAGTTTTATAAAGGTATTCAGTGGTTTTCATAAAATGTGTTAAAAGCATTTTTTCTAAATCTTACTAATAAAAGGGCAAAATTAATTTGCATTTTAGAAACTTGATCATGTGATTTCTGTTTCAGTGTAGTATTTCTTGACTATGTTTTTTAAAAAAACCACTTCCCTAGAAAGTGTGTGTGTGTGTGTGTGTGTGTGTGAATGTCTATCTCAAAACAACTCTTTAAACCTATGTTGACACTGCATCCTTGAGTGGAGATTTAGTTTAATTTGGAGGAATGAGTGCTGGAGACTTATGGTACCTTTGCATAACTCTGGCAAACGGAATCTTTAAATGGAACACAGTAAGCCCAGACAGGGTGCCATACTGCAAATCCAGGGACTTCATAGCTATTTACCTGCTTCCCAAACCAGTCCTTGTTCTGCTTTTCTGGATACCAGCCTGCAGCAGCACATAATATCTTACCTTATAGTCACTATTTTTCAGTAGTAAAGCACTTTGGAAACTAGATCGTAGACATAAGTCTGATGGAATTATGCAGGATGTACCTCTGAGCAGATATTCATGGGATTCCAACCTTAATTTGGAAAGAGCTTTGCTATCTGTTTTATTCATTTATTTATTTCATTTATAGTGCACCATTCTCACTGAAAAGGTGGATTATAAAATATAAAAATTCAAACAAGGACCTCCAGTAAACAATGCAAGGAGGACTAGATTTACACAGTTGGGAAACAAGGCAAACACAGAACGGTCTACAGCGACAAAAACTGTCTAAGGCACAACACATGATGCAGAAAGTGGGTTAAGGGATGTAGAAATGCATTCAAAGCAATAAATATTGCACTATTGTCCTGTCCCTGATAAAAGCAACCAGCTGTAGCTCTTTTGAAAAGAAAATGAAATATCTGAGTTACGGTATACTGGAAGAGTAGGTGAGATGCTAGAGTAACCAATATATGAAGGAAATGGCAGGCCAAGATCTAGCCATCATAAGTAGGTAGAAATAGTCACACATGAGGCTGTTTCCACAAAAAGTTCATAAAGGCTTTTTGATCTTTTGACATACCTGCTAACCTTTTTATTGAGCAACTGGATGGAGGAAATACTGCATCCATGCTTTCCATATGCAAAAAGGCAAGAGGCTTTGGAAAGGGAAAGCAGAATATTCAGGGAAGGAGCCCAGAATTTTCCAGGGTGTGTGTGTGTGTGTGGTGGACCCCACAAAGAAGGAAAGCAACAGCATCAAAGACTGGAAGGAAAGCAAAGAATACAGGACTGGAAGTCCCATGGATTTTTGTGCTGTAGCTTCCTTCCACAGACTCTGAAATATCCTTCTAGCAGTTTTGCTCTGTGCCAATCCTTTATGGCCTAAAACCAAGGAGTATCAAGGATTCCCCCCCCACCACATAACTCACACACACAAAACAGTGTCTGGCTACAGCATTTCTGCTTGCTAAATGGGAAGAAACATTCCTATCGATTATTCAGCTATAGCAACATTTTAAAAAATGCCTTCCACTAACGGTTCTCAGTGTGTGAGAGCTGTATGCACACGTGATGCGTATTTTTTTTTCCCCCTCTTAAAGATAATCCTCAAGTCATGGAGAGCTGGGAAGTCTCCAGCTAGCCAGGAGCCCTAATTATACTAATCTTTCATCTCAGACACATCCTCCCTCCCCCTGTTTCTCCCCCTTTTTGAAACTTGTGATTCCAGAACCATGAAAAGTATGCACGCCCCTCCTCCAGCTTCCTTTCCTTCACACCAAGCCACAATCCATGTCTGACAGAGCAGTGCGCTCCCAGAAACCAGCCCAATGACTCTAACCGAACAGGATTTTGGGGGGCTGCTCCCCCAGCCCAGTGAGTTGGGCATGGCCAGCATGGAAAGCAGCGATGGGAAAGAAGAAACCATGTTACAGTCTGTGGCTGGAGGAGACACCTTTGGGCCAGTGGAACCCCCCAAGAAGCCCACAGGAAGGCTGGTTATGCACAGCATGGCCATGTTCGGCCGAGAGTTCTGCTACGCGGTGGAGGCTGCCTTCGTCACGCCCGTGCTGCTCAGCGTGGGGCTCCCCAGAAGCCTGTACAGCCTCGTATGGCTCATCAGCCCCATCCTTGGATTTGTGCTTCAACCTGTAGTTGGCTCAGCCAGTGACCACTGTACTTCTAGCTGGGGCAAGCGAAGACCGTACATCCTGGCCCTTGGTGTTATGATGTTGGTGGGAATGGCTCTGTACCTCAATGGTGATACGGTGGTCTCAGGTGAGTGAGCAACACTTGGGTAAGCAGAGCAAAGCTCCTCCGGTTTTGTGGGCCAGAAAAGGTGGGGATTTTGTTTTTCCCCCAAAGTGGTAGAAATATGTGAGCGGCCTGAATAGCCTGATCTCATCAGAGTTTGGGAGCTAAGCAGAGTAGGCCCTGGTTAGTAGTTGGATGGAAGACCACCAAAGAAGATTAGGGTTGTTATGCAGCGGAACGCAGTGGCAAACCTCCTCTGCTCATCTCTTACCTTGAAAACCCCATGGTCCTGGGGTTGCCATGAGCTAGCTGTGACTTGGCAGCAAGTAGCAAAAATTTTTTTTGATGTTGTTGCTCGTGTGTGTGTGTGTGTGTGTGTGTGTGTTAAGGAGGAGATGGTAATATGGAAGTCAATAAATGCAGCCAAAAAAATAAGACACATCATCTTTGCAGTGAAAGAGTTGAGTGTATGTTAGATAAATGAAATAATAGTCCTGCTACTGTCTGTTTTGTTTGGGCATTCACTATGTGTGCTGGTGTAGTTACCTTTTCCCAGGAGCCCAAAGGTTCCAGGACAAAGAAAATGGAAAAAAGGGTGACTCATTTGACTTGGAGATTAATCTCATTTGCATTGTTTAATTCAGGCATAACTACCTTCAAAAGTTGAAAGATACCGCAATCCCACTGCCCTTGAAACCAAGGCTGATATTGGCAGGAAATAATAATAATAAATTTTAGGATTATCCATTAAAAAGCAGGAAGAGTAAAGTTAAAAAGCGGAATGTAATTAATTGCCAAGCTGCCATTAGGTATTTTAAATTAGTTATTTAATTTTAATATCTTTGGAATTAATGTTTGAATGAATCAGTGTTTTATGGAATTGTTCTACTGGTTTTTATGACATGTAAGCTGCTTATTGGGTAGGGTGGGATAAAAATGGCAAAATAAAAAAAAAATTAACAGTAACATTTATACGTGACTGTTCTTAAGCTCAAATTGGCTTCATATACAATACAATACCTCATTACAAGAGTCTTGAAAGCTAGGCCAGTATTACCATCCCATACGCAACGGCAATCTAGGGTTACCAACAACCCGGAGAAAACAAGTGTCCTGCCCCTTTAACAGAGGCTTAATAGGATGGTATTTACCAGAGGATGCTATTAAACTCCATGACATGCAGGGCTTTTTTTCTGGGGGAACACACTGGAACAGACTTCCGGAACCTCTTCGACAAAACTCTTTTTAAAATGTTTAAAAGTTCATGAGTTTTCAGTATACAGATTGAAAACTTCATTTCCCTCTTGAGAGTTCTGGGTAGGGTTCCCAACCCCCCCTGGGAGCGGACTCCCCCCCGGTTTCGAGCCCCGATTCCCGTTCCCGCGGAATCGGGGCCCGGGGGAAACCCCACCCCCGCGTGTGCGTCACCCGGAAGTGTTTTCCCCTCAAATGGTGTGGCCCCGCCCCCAGCGTGTGACGTCACTTCCGGGTGACGCACGCGCGCACAAAGAGGACGCCGTCCGGGAGCCCCCCGCTCCCGGACAATTTGGATTTGGCAACCCTAGTTCTGGGACCTCTTTTTCCAGAAAGAAAAGAAAAAGCCCTGATGCCTTGAAAAATTTCAGCTGCACATTTCTACTCATGAAGCCTCTGTTAAAGTGGCAGAATATTGCTTCTCCAGGCTGTTGGCAAGCCTTTCCCACCAGGCAGAAAACAGTAGGATATGAACCTTATACGATAAGGTTAGTAGGTACGGCCTACAATCCCAATGGGAGTAACCCTAATTGAATATGAGATGTACTTCTGGAGCAACTGTTTTCAGATTGCTCCCAGCCTCCCACGATCCTTTATGTTACTGAATGTAAGGATCGGTGCCCATTGTTTTCGAACATTGTTTTCCTGCCGTCACCCAAGGTTAATGGACTTTGAGGTGGACCTTTGCCATTTTGACAGGTGGCTGATAAGGCATTTCTAAAGCAGATAAGAAAGCCATGGAGAAAAGAGAGCATGAGGTCATAAGAACATAAGAAGAGCCCTGCTGGATCAGACCAGTGGTCCATCTAGTCCAGCATCCTGTCTCACACAGTGGCCAACCAGTTCCTCTGGATGGCCAACAAAAGGCTGAGGCCTTCCCCTGATGTTGCCTCCTGCCTCTGGGATCCAGAGGATTCGTGCCTCTGAATGTGGAGGTTCCCCTCAGTCACCATGGCTAGTAGCCATTGATAGACATCCTCCATGAATGTATCTGATCCCCTTTTAAAGCTGTGTATTTCTGTGGCCATCACTACATCCTCTGGCAGTGAATTCCACATTTTAATCACTCTCTGTGTAAGGTAATATTTCCTTTGTCCATCCTGAACCTACTGCCCATCAGTTTCATTAGATGCTCTCGAGTTCTAGTGTTTTTGGGAGAGGGAGACGTCTTGCCCATGTCAGCAGATGACTTCTCCACCCACCCCCCCCCCCCCCTTTTTGGCACATTTCTCTTCCACTGATCTCCATGGTTAGTAGAGAACTAGGCAGGGGAATGGGGGGGGGGCAGCATGGATGATTCTGTCCTCCTTACCCTTAAGTTCACTTTGCTATTCAAAGCACAGACACCCTCTTTTTATGTAATTGGGGGATGAGCTGTGTTTAAATGCCTAGATTGACTCCCCTATCTAGGTGGTTCTATTTAAAAAAGAAGGGCAAATGGTCTTGGCGCTTGAAAGTAGACTTTGGAGAACATAGTTTCAGTGGGTAGCTGTGCTGCTCTTCAGTAGAAGAGCTAGATTCAAGTCCAATAGCAACAAGATTTGGGGAGTATACACTTTTGAGCAGGGGTCGTTT